AGTTGGATCAGATTTGACAAATGTGCACAGCCATGTAGCCTACACCCCACTAATATAGAGGGTATTTCATCACCCCCTGAAGGTTCACCTGTTCCCTTCATGGTCAGTCCCCTGATCTGATTACAAAAAGTCCACTGACCTGTTTTGCATAGATTTCTATCACCATAGAGTTGCTTGTTCTAGAACTTTATATAAATGAAATTATGTAGTATATATGTGTTCTTGTGTCTGGCTTCTTTTAGCATGTTTTCAAAATTCATCTGTGTTATATCAGTTTGATCCCTTTTATTGATAACTAATATTTGATTTTATTAATATACCATAGCTTTTAACATCCATTTTCTAGTTTATAGACACATGCTATTTCCAGTTTGGGTTAATATGAATAGAGCTACTATGAATATTTTTTGTATAAGACTTTTGTTAACATGTTTTCATTTCTTACTGATAAATACCTAGGAGTTGAATGCAAGTTTATATAATAGATGTATACAGTTGATCCTTGAATAATGCAAGGATTAGGGGCACTGACCTCCTGTGCAGCTAGAAATCTCCATAAAACTTTTGACTCCCCAAAAAGTTAACTATTAATAGCTTGTTGACCAGAAGCTTTACCGAGAAGTGAATTAATACATATTTTGTATATGTATTACATACTATATTCTTACAATAAACTAGAGAAAAGAAAATGTTAAGAAAATCATAAGGAAGAGAAAATACATTTACAATAATATACTGTATCTATTGATACCATAAGTTTACATTGTCCATTTATAAGATGAATTCTGTCAGCAATTATATCAATAGTGTCTTATATGATAAAAAAACATGGTAGATGTTATACATAGTACACCAGACATCAAATATGGAAAGATAATGTAAAAACGACATTCACGTTTATTTACAGGTATATGATTCATGCATTGATAACAAAGAAACAGCAGTATGATTGTTTTAGGGTCACCTGGTCTATACACAAATGAATGAATCATTATAAAATTTGTATGGCATACAGTATCATAGTCATATTCATAACACAGTATTAGAAGCATTGTTAGATATTTTAAGAAACCACTTATCTGTATTGATAGGTTGATACGCAGTTTCTCCAATTATTAGGCATACTGTACAGTAATGAAATTCTTTGAAAGAAGTTATAAAACAGTGAGAAAACTAATGTATTATTAATTTTATATTAACTATCACTCAGCTTATGCTCACATAAAGGCAGGCTATCCACTCCCAACCAAGCACATGATGTTCTTTGCAATGAATACTTAGGTGACAATCGTAATGACACAAAACATCTCGGACAGCTCTTCCCCTACAGTTTTTTCACACACACACAAATACACAACAGATAAGGTTATTAACTGTATGACAGGGTGATTTATTTTACTATTCATTAAGTGGAAGTGGATCATCAAAAAGTCTTCTACACTGAGTAGGCTGAAGAGGAGGAGAAGAAAGAGGAGAGCTTGCTGTCTCGGGGCTGGCAGAGGCCGAAGGGATGGGGGAGGCCGGAGGGGAGGCGGGCTCGCTTGGTGTAGCTTTACAGAAACACATCATGATTTCTGTCTGACTTTTTGCTTCTTCATGTCTCTAAGAATGTTTCTAAACAGCACCAATCCTTCTTCCACCGTTTGCTTTAGTTTCAGTGCCTGTGTCATAGAAGAGTCCTGGTCATAAAAGAAGTAAAAAATAATTGACTTGAGTGATTGAAACCCTTCTGTCAGATTGTCAGATTGTCTGTCAGGCTGTGTTTGAGCGCTGCTGCTTCTGTGTCCTCCTCCTGGTCACCTGGTGCTGGTCCGGAGGCACTCGTTTCCATCAGACCATCCTCTTAAGTCCTCTGCTGTGCTTCTGTTAGCTCTTTAATTTGTTAAAGACCCGTAACTCGAAACCCTTTATCTGCCCCCTCTTTTTTTGTCATATCCACAATGTCTTTCATGATTTTCTTGACTGGTTCTGTCATAAATCCCCTCAACTTATGCATAACATCTGGATAGTTTTCTCCAACAGGAATTTATTGTTTCAGGCTTGATGGGTTTCATGGCTTTTTCTGTAACAACGTTGGCATCTTCAATGGTGTAATCCTTCCAGATTTTCATGATATTTTCTCTATTAGGGTTCTTTTCCATAGCTTTGACAATCCTGCCCATAGAGTACCATGTGTAATTAGCCTTCAGGGTCCTCATCACTCCCTGATCTAAAGGCTGAATCAGAGACACTGTGCTCAGGGCCAAGGAGACCACTTTGACACCTTAGGTCTTGAACTCATAGGGTTCTGGATCGATAGGGACGTTGCCCACTATCAGAAGAACTTTAAAAGCAGTTCTTACTGACAAGGTTCTTCCTGATGTCGGGGCAAAGTATTGATGGAACCAGTCCAGGAAAAGGGTTCTCATTGTCCATGCCTTCTTGCACAACTAAAAGACTGGCAGCTGGTGTTTATCTTTTCCCTTCAGCCTCAGGGGTCAGCAGCTATATATGTAGGGGTGGTCCTGATCATAAGCTTGACTGCATTTGCTCACAGTGGAGTTAGCCTTTCCTTCCTGCCTTTAAGCCTGGTGCTCACTTTTCTTCTTTTCTAATAAATGTCCTTTGTGACTTTTTTTCTGCAAGAGGGCACTTTCGTCTGTAACACCTATTCAAGGAGACATCATTTCTCCTCAGGGATTTCTTTAATGGCATCTGGGAACTTGTTTGCTGCCTTTTGGTCAGCAGAAGCTGTTTCTCCTGTTGTCTTGACATTGTTTAAGCCAAAATTTTTTCTAAAATTATCAAACCATCCTTTGCTGGTATTAAATTCTCCCACTTTAGATCCTTCACCTTCCTTTTGCTTTACGTTGCATTTAATGACTTCACTTTTTCTTGAATCATATATTAGGGTCTATTAGTATACCTTTCTTATAGCAGTCCTACACCTACATTAAAGCTGCATTTTCAACACAAGATAAAGAGGTATTTTTCAAAAAATGCAAGGTTTTTGCACCTGCTGCTGTAACTGTAGCGATGACTTCACAAATTTCCTTTTTTTACAATGGTCCTTCTACTGGATTCGTCTATCCTGAAATGGGCAACCACAGCTACAGACCTCAATCTGGAGTACATAGCAAGCAATCCTACTTTTTCTTGTGGTGTCATGACTTCTCTATGCTTCTTGGGAGCACTTTCAGAATCACTAGTGGCACTTTATATAGATCCCATGGTTTTTACTCAAGGTTTATGGTGTTGCACTAAATGTGATGAAAAATATGTGACAACTGCGAGAGATCACTTTTTACTAGACACGTACACAATTTATTGGAGAGATGAACTGCTCATGAGGTGATGATTAGCATCACATGATATTTTAAGCAGATAGTTGTGACACGAGCTCATCGCAATAGCACAACAGGGCTAAGAAACCATTACAGTAGTACAGTACATACTTTAGTTAACTTAATGGAATTGTGATTTAAAACTATGACTTAATGTTTACACTTTTTTTGAATGTAAATACGATGGTACCATATACAATGTGTGTCTGTGTAAGTTGTGGTAAATTTAAATTTTTTAATAGATTTGTATATATTTTATGGTGGCAAATGATAAAATAGACTAGTATCTACATATATTTTATGCATTCATTAAATGCCTTTTTCTCAGTTTTTTTGATATTTCTGGGCTATGTAGTTCATCTGTATTTTTTTTTCAAATTGTTACAAACCTCCAAAATTTTTCCCAATATACTTACTGAAAAAAATCCACATATAAGTGGACCTGTGCAGTTCAAACCCATGTTGTTCAAGGGTCAACTGTATTTTAACTTTAAAGAAATTAACAACTTTCCAAAGTTGGGATTTGCCCTTTTAAGCATTGGGCTACACTCTCCATGTTTCATTAAATTTATTGTAAGGAATGAAGTACATAATGTATGTAAAAGCCTTGGCTTGGTGCTTAGCATAGTAAGGGCTTGGCTTTTGCTACTGTTATTTACTATCTCTAGCTGATAACTTCCAGATCTCTTTTTCTTGAGTACAAGACCTGTATTTCCATCTGCCTGCTTATATAACATCAGGACTTGGTGTCCCACAAGCAGCTCCAACTTAGTTTGTACCAAACTGCAGTCTTCTCCCCAAGCTCCATCCCCGAACTTTGTTCTTTCACATGCCTTAGTTACCAGGGTGAATCATTTGTTGCCCAAGTCCCTCCTCTGTGCCCACATCTAACCCAGGCCTGTCTGTTAAGCCTTAAACAACTCTTTCTGGTGGCCCTTTGTCTCCGTTGCCCACTGTTGATACCTTAGTTCTGGCCTTCAGTATGTGTCTCCTGGATTGCTACAGTAGCCTTGAAACTGAGGCCCACACCTGGAGGATTGTCATCTCCAATTCACTGCCTTTCACTGTGCCAGAGGGATCTATCCACAGTACAGACTACTCCTGTCATCCAGTTAGAACACTTAAATGACTTCCCAGGATAAAGCCTCACCCCCTTAAATTCCTTTCAAGGCCTTCATGCTCCAGCGTCATCTCCTCAACTCCTTTCCTAAATGTGCTCCCACCTGCTAGAGTCCCAGCCTTTGGCTTAGAGGCCTGCGCTGCTTGTTCTCCATAAAATAAATACCTTTCCCTCCCCTACCTCATCCTAACCATCATCTTCACTGAGCATATACACATCAAGAGACTCAGCCAAGATGTTTCTATGTTGTAGGGAGCATTCTCTGCCATCAACCTCTTTTCCCCTTGGGTTGGTGCCTGGGCCTCAGTACTTACCCTAATGTGGCCTCCTGGCCCCCACTGTCAGAGAACAGGGGATGTTTTTTGCTCATGCTAGCAACCCAGCACCTAAAACACTGCAGGTACTCAGTATATATTTGGGGACTTGAATAGTTATATTGGTGGTATTAGGGAGTTTATTTAATATGATGCTGGAGCTGTTGGGGATGAGTGGTCAGTGGGAGACAGCAGCAGCATTTGACGTTGCTGGGTTCTTACCCATTTGTCTTGTCCTCACAGCCTGATGAAAATTCGCTGGATTTTTCCTCTTGTATGCTACGGCCTGGGATTAAAAATGCTCAGGAACTTGCTTGTGGAGTGTGCCTTTTAAATGTGGACTCCAGGAGCCGGGTGAGTCACATGCCTTCCCCTTGCAGATGGCAGAGCGCTTCCCTGACATGGCCTGGGTGGATATCCAGTCTAGCCCACTTCACTGCAAGGCCTGTGACCAGAGGCGGGGAGTTAGAAAGCCCTGAAATCTGACCACAGAAGCAGATACATTCTGTAAAAAGGGCAGGTGGGGAGCTATGGAAGTAATGGATGCAGTGCTTACCTTTCTAAGAAGTGTGCTGAGTTGTGCCTGCAGCGCCCTGTGCACAGCAGGGTGGTAGAGGAAAGGTTAAGCCTATAAGGATTTGTTTGGCGGCAAGAGGCCCTGTTCTGGGAATTTTGTTGACCTTATGGTTTCAACATTATTGCAGAAAGAAGAGAAGCCTGAAGAAGAACATCCTAAAAAAGTATGAACCAGTCACACATTATCTTAGCATCTCCATCTTAATTTTGAGTGTGGAAGGCAAATCGGATGATCCCACTGCCTTGTTCCTATCATGAATCCTTACTGAGTCATCTTTGTTCCCATGTTTGATTTAATGACCTAACGTGTCTGTGTGGGTCCTCTTCTGTCTTGTTTGCATGCTTGTATCTCGTAATTGGCTTCTGGTGCTGGGGTTATCTTTCTCTGTGATGAACAGGGTAACAGAATGAGCAACTTCTGGAAGACTGGAAGTTGCAGTGACACACAGAATGAGATCACAGAGCTTTAGGATTTGGCCGTTATCAGACAAAAACAAATTGCTTGTGTTTTGGAGTTTTGTTTTGCTTACCCACAGTGCTTAGAGAACACCCCAGGAAGTGGTAGAGGGTAGGACTGGCTGACTGTAACTTACCTACAAGTGTTATTCATCTGGATGTAATTCTTATGTGTTTAATATTTTTATTTCTTACAAACCTTAATATCTACTTGGACTTTAAATTATGTCAAATCAGTTATCAACTCCAATAGCATTAGACACTGAGAGTTTTTAATCTTGTTTTCTTTCATAATAAGACTACAGTCAGCCACAGAAATTTAAGAGTTACATGTTACAGGCAAATGCCAGCCTTAGGGAAAGGGCTTCCTTCAGCACAATGCCAGTCGAAAATTATTGACAGCCCTTGGCTACTTTAGTTCCCCTCCACTCCCCTCCTCCAGCCTCCCATAGCCTCTGTCTGCCCTTCCTAGGAAAGATTTGGCCTTCTTTTGCTGAAATTTAATGATAAAGGTTTTTTTATACCTTTAATTAGCAGTGAAAAACTTACTCACTTGAATTCCTATAGCCACCTGATCAGCTTCTCTGTGTGCCAGTTTGGCCTCTGTGACCTGGAGAGGTGTGTGTGCTGGTTACTGATCAGCTCTCTTAGGTGCAGAAGACGCCTGACTTGCCCCACACATCTGTTTATTTCTGGCAGGCATTCAACTCTGAAACAGACAGTTTCAAGCTGTCATATGGAGGACACCAGTATCACGCCAGCTGTGCCAACTTCTGGATCAACTGTGTTGAACCAAAACCTCCTGGCCTTATCCTGCCTGATTTGCTCTGAAAAGATCCTCTATGAAGTACCAACTGGATTTGTTTTTTTTCTGTCACACACTGTGGAGTGACAGGGACCAATAAATAGAATGCAAGTGCAACGTTCACCTCGGTAAATCTCTATGAGGAACTCTCGGAAAGGTGGTGGTGGGCGGGGAAAGCTGCAGGAGTTCCCAGTCATTCTTACAGATGACCTTTGTCCCCTAGTTCCCACTGTCAGTCTTTGGAATTTGAGGTCAAATTGACCTAACTAAACTGCATGACCAACCCAAACTGGAGATAAGTTTGTTATCTCTAGTTCTGTCAAGATGTTTTAAAATATGGGCCACAATTTTATCTAAGGAATAATTTGCTGCTGCAGTATTGAAACTGTGAAGAATTGCCATTTGAAGAAAAATACTGTTGTAGAACTAGAATTGGCAAGACTGTTTTGAGCCAGTGCTTATTTCTATCTAGAACACTTATTGTCCTGTGAAGTAGAATGCAGTTATCATCTACATTTAGCTTAATATGTGAAATGAATAAAAAGGGGAAATTGTGATAAACTTATATTCTTTTTATAGAAAAAATTCTGCTCGTCTCCACTGGACAATGGCAGGTAGGTGAGGGCAGATTTCCCCAACTTTGCTGTTGCAACTGAACCAATTCCCTACTCCTTTTCTAAAACTATCAACTTTCAAGAAGACTTTTTCTCCAAACATGCCTGGGCATTTGCCATGGAAAATGTCCATTTTGACAAAGGCGCAAATCCTTGTGTATCAGGATGTCCTTCCCCTTAGAAGTCTTCACTAAAGACCTTGTTTTATCTCAAACACAGTCTAGGACTGTGGTATTTCTTTCAGACAAGATTTGGAAAGGCAACTGAATAAAATCTCTCTGCAGTGGCCTCTGTCCAAATTCCAGAATGACTGCATTAAGGACCAATACTGCCTGACTTTGCAGTATCCATGTGAGAGACCTGAAAATCAACTTGGTGAGGTGGAGTTCTGACCTACTAAGGTGAACAGAAAGGTGTTTATCTTTCTGTTCAGTAGAAGAAAATGTTTTAAAAACATTGAATTTTAGAAGGGAAAGCCTCATGATGTCTGATGTAGGGAGTTTTCTTTGTCACTAAACTGAATGCATAAAATCAGAAAAAGAAACCAAGTGATCGCCGACTGTGATGCTCCTGGGAAGAACATGCCGATGCGAGATGCACATTTCTCTTAAGTGTTAATTATGTGCTTTGTAGAAACATCTTTTATGTTTCACTTTGTATGACTTAGGCTTGCTGATCTAGACAGTTTTTATTTATAAAATGAAAAGGGTGTTTTTGTCTGTGTAATTGCTGTACATGATTATTTTCCCTTCTCAGGACAAAGCTTGAGGGGAATTGTTTTGTTCCATTTTATACCTTTTACCTCCATCTTCTCCAAGGAAGGTATAGGACGTTTTCATTAAGTAGCCATTGATGAGGCTTCTTCTTTACCTCGCTGTGTACCAGAATGCACAGAGATGTGTGGATGAGATAGATCTGTTTTTCTCATTTGTTCCAGATTATACTACCTCTAGCTACTAATGACTGAAATAGCTGTCTCTGAATTGTTACATTCAGAGCCTCTGTCATCCACAGGGCTCCTGCAGTGTTGGGAGCACAAGTGGGCCAGTTTCTAGCAGGTTTTTGAGGCCTCTGTGCTCCACATGAGCAGCTCCTAGAGCTTCAGCATGGCACCAGAATTCAAGCACTTCTAATTGGTCTTGTAATTCCATAATAGATGGTAACAGCATCTACCTTGTGAGAAGAATGCCTCCCAAATTGACAGAATTTACATTACTGAGACCTCTTATTTTTTTAAAAATGCCACATGGACTATTAGCTTGTCACAATGGCCTGTATCAATGACATTTTTGGAAGTGTGCTCACCTGCTAATTAGATTGGTTTCCATTCCTAGATATAATCCTCAGGTAAAATCCCTAAGTATAATTACTGCTGACCTCACCAAGTATGGTAGATTTACTCATTCCATGGTTGGTACAATAGTAAAATACAGCAGATGTGAGTCAACCAAAAGCCTTTGCTATCAAAAGCACTCACTACTTTTATCATCTCCTTAATGGTGAGAACATTTAATTAGATACCACCAAAGATTTGGGGAGTGTACAATTCCATTACATTGATTTTTGTTAGTTATGCACATTTATTAAATGACTCAACATTGCTTTCAGCTTCATCTCAGCTTTTGTTAGCCAAGAGTCCAGTGTCCTTGGAAACAGTAACCAAGGTTACTTATTTCCATACTCCGTATTGTGCAAGCAGCTTCACCCTGCTGCCTGAGTGGCAATTAAGAAGCACTTTTCTTTTTTTGGTATTGTAGTTTGCCTTTAAATTTTTATGGCCTAGTGCATAGTTCAGTTTTTGTCTGGCCATGCTTGAGGTAGAAGAGGCAGAGGGTCTATCATGTTATCCATGCTTCACTTTTCCTGGAGCTACTAATTAGAATTCTATATAGGTGGTGTATTTTAAATTAGTTGAATATTTTGTGTGCATATATGTATTTTTTGTTTAAAGATGTCTTCTACTTGCCTTTTGTATGACTAGGCTAGTGTGTGCTTAAATTTTGAAAAGATTTTGGAGCCTTTATGTTACAGAAGTTTGCTCTGCACTGGGAATCAACTACAAAATTTCCCCTAACACCTTTTAGGTCACATACCTTCCTTTGTGACCAGCTAATAAACTCTGATGTTTAGATTAGAAAGGTGTTAGGCTTCCCAACTGCTAAGAATGCTCTTAGTTACATCCCAGTAGTGGAGTTTTCAGGGATTTCTGCAGGAAATTTTCAATTACCATGCACATCTGTCTCTAGCTGTTTTCTTACTATAGTAAAGCGATTATTTGGGGACTCTTATCCAGAGACTGACAGACTTACAGTTTGCCTTCATACTAAAGCAGCATTATGGGTTCCTCTGATTACCCATAGAAATTAGCTTCATTTAATTTTCCTGTTTAGACTATCATGTGCATGTTTATAAAAGTGGGCAAATAGTAGGAAACAGGAAAAGGTAGAATTTAGATGGAAACCATTGCCACAGACCAGGTAAAATCTGTAAGATGTCATTCATATATATATAGCCACTGGCAATATATTTATGGCTTCTTGCCAAAATATACCAAAAATCTACAAAATTATTCCATGCCTATCTAGTAAATGAAGTCAAGTAAAGCAAGGCTGTGACAAGTGGCTCCCTGATCTAAGGTTAAGGGACAACTTGGTACCTCCCAGTGGTTGCCTAGGAGTGTGGAATAGAGAAGAGGTAATTAAACTTCTACCAAGCCCCTGATCAATTGTGTTGTCAAGTTTATTAGGCACAGTGAGCTGGGTGATATTTCCAAGTTTCAACAAAGGGTGTGTGTGTGTGTGTGTGTGTGTGTGTGTGTGTGTGTGTGTGTGGCACAGTGAGCTGGGTGATATTTCCAAGTTTCAACAAAGGGTGTG